ATAGTTTAAGAGCCTTAAATTAGTTTATCTAGCTTAACCAAACTCATCTATCAACAACTATAAGACCTAGGAAGTTTGACAGTTATTGAACATTTGGAAATGTTAGTTACTCTAACAGGATAAAATGTTTTCCTGTGTATTTATATTTGTCCATATTAGTGAGTTTTTCTCTTTTCAGCCGCTAAAAACAAGTTTTGAACTTGATTGCCCTCGTGAAAGTGAGAACACTTATTACTTTTAAATAAGAGGTCATTCTTTAGTGTAAGAATTTTCTTGTGCCTGTTGTGAGATGAGAGGGCTAAATCCCAGCACTCAAAGGGGAGGAAATTTTCCTAATAAAAGACTCATTTACCACAAGCAACCCTTGATATTATGTGTAAGTCATACATGGTGTAGAGAAAAAGAAAGATATTGGTAGGGGCATTCTTTTTTTTTTTTTTTCTTTTTTTTTTTTTTTTTAAATTTTATTTAAGGAGAAAAGAAAAAAAAGCAGAGAAAGGGTACAAGTTATACAGATTTGCAGAAAAAAAATGAACAGTAGGAAATTACTAGTTAATGGATTACATATTGTCATCTTAGAAATAATTGTTCAAGTCACAAAATTAAAGCTTGTAAAGTGGACATTCCATCAATGATACTGCAAACAGTTCTGTTCAATGATCCAATAAAACTCTGTGATATCATATTCTATCTTATACACTTAAACATACATGCAGTTATATAATTTAGAGCACTTTCTTTTCCTCTCTTTTGTACAATGACTATTACACATTTTGGGTTTCATTGTTCTCATGGTTCTTATTACTTTTTTGGAAGAGAGTAAAACCAAATGTGACATAACAGAACAGAATCGGTCAAGTCAAAAGGGTGGACATAATAGATAATGTGAAAACATAATACAAGGTGATCGACAATGGTTACCATAATGCCTCCCGCTATCTCTAATAGAATTGCCTATACCATTAGTTATAATACAATTGAACAAAACAGTAAAGAACAAAACCGACAAAACCAAACCATTGGAGACATTGTAGGTCTTCAAAAGTAGATAAAAGTCAACGAGAATGGGCATTATAATGAATCTCATTATCTTCACAGCTGATGCCTAAATTTTCGAACCTGATACTATCCAGCAAAACAGAATAGGGGAACATCAGTTAAAAACCAGATGGTGAGAGTAATACAGGGCTTTAAATCGAGGTAATGGAAAGTCAAAGTGGGTTACTATAATATATCCTGTTATTTTTTTTTTCTTTAATTAAAAGGATAAAAATAAAAAAAGTATTAAAACAGTAAATAATGGAGTGGAGATTGAGATAAAAGAGGGCATAACAACGAAACAGCACAGATCAAAACATAACCATTTAAGCAGAACAGTGTTTCACCACCAGATAATCCTGACCTAAAAGTAGTTACCATATTGTCTCTTTCCTTGAAATCCTTGAGTACAACTTCGTATACTGTAGCATTAAGTATATCAAAACAATGTAAAACCATTTAAGAGAATGACAGCATTACAGAGTATTTAGAGTCAACTAACAGAAAATGAATAATGGTTTCTGTATAATCTCCTTGTCTTTAAAAGGTTTTTGCTTATACTGTCGTACATAATAAAATTCAGTAAGATACAACCTATTTAGACCATTGGAGACAGAAGGACAAAAGCTAGATGAGACTTCAAAACAAGATGATACTAAATCAGTATTACCTATTAAGATGTCATTTTCTCCAAAATAGCTGTTCCTATCATCCAATCTTCTCTGCCTCATTTCTGTTGAGCTCTTATTCTGTCAGTAGCTGTCAGTTTGTCTTCTTCACTTTGTTCTCTGCTCCATTAGTTGTGGCCTCCACTATTTCTGGATTCTTTGTATTTTTCTTTTTTTAGAATATCCTGCAATACTCTCTGTAGAGTTGAATTGGTGGTGGCAAATTCCCCCAGTTCCTCTTTATCCTGGAAGCACCTTGTTTTTCCATCAATTTCCAGGGACAGTTGTGCAGGATATCTCAATCTTGGCTGGAGATTATTATCTTTCAAAGCTTGAATTATTTCCCCCCACGCTCTTCGTGATTTGATGGTTTGTGCAGAGAAATCTGCTGTAATTCTGATGGGTGCTCCCTTGTAAGTGGTCTGTTTCTTGTCTCTGACAGCTTTTAATATTCTGTTCTTGTATTGAATTTCTGGAATTTTTATTATTATATGCCTGGGTGTTGCTCTGTTTGGGTTGTAGGTAGCTGGGGTCCTGTATGCCTCATACATCTGAGTATCTTTACCTTTTGCTAAATTAGGAAAATTCTCCTGGATTATTTCTGTGAGTAGCTTTTGTAGTTCATTTGTTTGTGTCCCTACTTCTTCTTTTATGTTCTTAATCCTTAAGTTATGGATCCTCTTATCATCTTCTTGTCTTTGTATTATTGCTGTTTGTTTCTTTGTTATTTTTAAGAAGTTTTTCATTTCATTCTCCCATATTACAATTCTGCCCTCCAGTTCAGATAGTCTGTCCTTAGTTTCTTTCAAGCTGTTATGCCAGTCTTCGATAGACTTCTTAGTTTCTTGGTAGTCCCTTTGAACCTGCTTCACGTATTCTATGCTTTCCCTGTTTTCTCCATCAAACAATTCTCCCCTCTTTTTCTGTTCTTCCATTCCACCATCTGTTTTTTCTTGGGTGGGGCTTAGCATTTCCCTAACTATTTTGCATACTTCTAGCTTCAGGTCGTTGATAACTTCATTCCTGAATTGGTCTATGAGGCTCTCTATATGGTGCTTTTTGTGTATTGGTGCGGTGTCTACTATTGCCTGTTTCTCAGAATTGGGGGCCGAGGAGCCTTTCTTGTTGCTGCCTCTTCCCATATTCTCTGTTCCTTATATATGCAAGCTTATATGAGAGGCCCAGCTTCTCTCCCTGTCAGCCACAGCCTGATCGAATTGCGCCGGTTAGGTGTTCCCATTCACCGCTGTGCACCAGGCAGCCTACGCGGGGGCCCGCCCCTCCCGGCCTCCGTCAGGCTCTGGGATCTGGTTTGGGCCAGCCTAAGGGGCCGCCGGCAGCGGCGTCAGGTAGGCCAGGCACTTTTCACCAATCCCGCCCGAGAGGGGAATGTGTGGCTGGAGTCGCCAGCGCGCCCTGCTCCCGCAGGACTGCTCTGGCCCAGAAAGTCCGTTGGAGTCAAACTGTGGTGGAGTGTCAGTTTCTGTCACTCACCTCGCCACAAGTCAGAACATGCCTCCCTGCCCGTCCTGTTTTCGACTCCATTCGCAGACTCCCGTTCTCAGAGCTTCCGCGCGTCTCTCTCCTTGCCGAGCTGATGTAGAGGCAGCCAGCCGCCGGGCGGCGGGAAACCCAAATCGCGGCTTCCAATGGCGCAGGGTCCAGCCTCAGCAGCGAGACTTTTCTGTTCCCGTTTTAGCACCAGGACTGCATTCCAAGTTGGTTTCTCTCAGCCGAGGTCGTTCCTGAGTCAGCAGAGCATAACTCCACCTGCTTATGTCTCTTTAGTCCGCACCATACCTGGCTTCTGAGCCTAGTTTTTAGAGAGCCTCCGGTAGTTGCTGTTATCTGTCCGCCATGTTCTCCCGGAAGTGGTAGGGGCATTCTTACTAGGTGAAAATAAGTAGAAGCTTAGCCATCAGCTCACTCAGAGGAGGACAGTTGTCTAGCACCAAGTAGATTAGAGGGAAGCTAAATGCAGACGCTTGTGGCTGGAGTTGTATTGAGAATTTAGAAAAAGACCAGAAAGCAGAGTGTGCGTATAAGGTAGTAGACACCACAGAATAGAAATGGCAATTTACTATGTTTGGGCAGAAAGTAAAGCCTAAGTAAATACAAATTGTCTGTCTTTATTGCTCATGACTTACCTGAGGAGTAGAACTGCATGAGTCCCTGCGGAATTCCTAGTGATTCCCTAGTAGTTCTCAGACTAGGCAAAGGGCATTGTCACTGACAGCACAGCAAGTTTCCACAGGGTAGATACTCCAAGCACGGGGCAAAGTGGAGAGACTCAGCAAGTATTTACATCCTACCATGTCAGCTGGGATGTGGGGGGTGGTTTCTGGGGCTGACATTTGAGCCCTGCCTTTCCTAAGACTATTGCACATCTTATAGAGAGGAAGTGGAGGCTGCTTCATCTCAGAAACCAGGCGCCATTACTGCTCCTCAGCTGGAGCTTGACAGGAGATAGTGGAAAGCACCCTGTAGATCAGTGCCACTTTCTCCATGGCACAGGACCACTTCCAGACAAGGAAGATGGGGTGAGAAAAAGCCCCCCGCAGAGGGCTTGCAATAGATTAAATAGAAGAAGCTTTTGTTATTTGCAAATGTGAAGATTTTTTGCTTCGTTTTATTGTTTTTCCTTATTATGAACAGGAATCAACATAAGAAACAATTAAATCATTTATATGCACCAAAGACATCAATATTCTTTTGACATCTGAGCCACATATGTAAATACACACTTTTCCAGTGACTTATGTATTTTAAAAACCAGCAAAAACAAATGAATAAAGAGTAGATTTAGTTAAAAATGACTTCTATTTGGTTAGACAGCATATGAGACTTTAAAATTATTTAATGATTGAAAATAGATATCATCTATTTCATATTTTAGAATTTAAAAGGAGATCTGAAAGCAACCTTCAATTGACAGTGTTTAATGTTGTGCTAGAAAATATGGAAAATTTGTTTTTATTTGATAAATTCACTGCGTGTTACTATCACATTAGAGTTAAATTGACAATTTTTCTAACTTTCAAAATTTTAGATAATTTTTTCTGTATGAATTCTAAAGCTATATTCAGCATTTAAAATTATAATCATGATTTGTACATACATCTATCAATTAGTTATTACTTTATTAACATATTATTTCCTCCATTTTCACAAACTAAATATTAAAAGGCTGGGGAACAGAAATGAAGATAGATATGAGAAATTCTTCAAATTTTAAATTAAATATGCTTTAGGAAATTTTTTTGGTTCTTATATTTTCCAGACAAAAATAGTGAATTGGCTAGACATACTTTTTATTTTAAACAAAAAATTCCATTCATTTATTTACAGGTAACATGAAATTTGGAAGATGAAATTACAAGTTGGATTGGCATTGACTCTGTACAAATAAATAAATCAAGTTAAAACACATTAAAATTACCTTCCAGGTATTACGAAAACACTCAAATACAGAGTTCTATCACATAAATTAGGTTCCGTATGTCAACAAAATTTGTTTGTGATATGTACATCATTATCATGACTGTTAGACGATCTCAGTATTTGCTCTTTCTTTGGTAAATAGTGAGAATTATGACAAATGAAGACAGTGTATAAGGGACATTAAGTCAGCTTTGATTCCATTATTAAGAAACCCATACAGAATTGGATTGAGACAACAGGACATCATACCTAACAAATGACAAATGCAATATACCAACTTGAAATGTCTATTTGAAATAAGGTTATCATTGAAATCCGTTACCACATGAAAAAGGTGTAGTGGCATCCAACTAACAGCAAATACTAATATGAGTATAGTCAGTCTGTAGAAGACACTTCGAGATCTCTTTTTTATTCTTGTGATGGAGCGTTTTACTCTCATTTCATGAGCATCCGAATTGTCCTCAGGTTTTATCTCGAAGCAAGTTGGGACCCCTGGTATGAACTTACTAGAAGAAGAGATTTGACTTCTCACAGAGCCAAAGTTTTCTGGAAGTGTCCTTGACTGGTTCTCTAGAGACGGTCTCGCTGGAGCAGGCAACACACAGGCAGTCTTCTTGCTATATCTCCTTCTATGTTTTCTGATGAAAGAGTAACTCCACTTATGGGTTTTGGAGAGTTTCACCTGATTTCCACTCTTTTTGGATGGATGAAGAGTTAAGTTGATCATCTCATTTTCTTCCAGTCTGTTTTCTTTGTTGGACAATCCGCAGCTGATACTCCTGCAAACACTTGTATGACTTACAGTTAGACAAACTAAGGGAAGAATATACTGAACTAGCAATAAAGAAATAGTAAAAGCAATTCTGTATGAATCAGATGGCCATGACTCAACACATAAATACCTGCTGCTCAGCAACGCTGAACCAAATGTTTCCTGAAGTTCCACAAGACTGTGAAACACTGGAAGAGGGGAACAAATTGCAAAACCTAATGTCCAAACAGTAGCTATAAGGAAATAGCCATGGTTGGCAGTTAAATTGTTAGAGATAGGATGTTTTATCATATGGTACCTGACAATGGCAATTGATATTAAAATTAAAGTTGAAACCAGTACGGACACACATTGAAGGAAAGGCATAATATGGCACATGACCTTGCCAAACATCCACTGATCCAACAAGACAGAGGTTAGTGTGAACGGTGAGCAAAACAGCACAACCAAGATATCAGAGAAGGCTAAATTTCCTATGAGAAAGTTGACTGTAGTCTTCTGATTACGCTTTTTTATGAGAGCCATTAAAATAAGTAGATTTCCCATAAAACCAAGAAGACTTACAAATGTATATAGCCCAATGAGAAAGTACTGTAAGTCATCTACACTGCTTCGATAGTCATCCCAGACTGGGAAATCCGAGTTCCGAGTGGTAGTAGTATTATTTTCTGTGGCAAGTGTCTTGTTATAATATTCCTTGAGCTCCAAATCCATCTTAGAGACCTGCTTGGAATAAAAAGACACTCATTAGCAACTTGAAACTACTATAACTCAATCCATTCAGGAGGAAACTAAGTTGTATGATATATTACCATTATCTTATTCATTCCCTAAGAAGGTTTACTTGATTCCAAAGGCAGTACGAATTCAGTGGGTAGTAATTATTAGAAATTGAAGACTATCATCTGTTCTATACTGTGTTCATTTGTGCTAAAGAAATAATGTAAGAAAATTAAAAAGCAAATATAGGTAAGAACTTTAAAATACATCATTTATAGTAGTTCATTACAGTACTATTACTCTGTGGCTAAGATACCTGGTACATGGTATCATTATATGGTCTTTCCTTAAAAGTTATTTTTTTTCTTATATGACACTTATAAGGGCTAATTTAAAATTCACCTGAAGTATTTCTCAATCTACCAAAGGATGTGATATCCTTCTTAGAACTCCCCAGATACTGTGATTGTAACTGTCTGATGTTGCATGCCTTAATCTGTCCTACATTGCAATCTTACAATGCTCCCTTCTGTAACTGTTTTTTACCCCATGGCATCCATCATAATGCATGGCATGATAACTTTACCACTGCAGGCACCAGGTAAATATTTAGAGGAAAATGAAAATTAAAACAAAAATCTAGCAACCTAAATATGACCTGGTTTGGGTTGTGCTCAAATTTACGCTTCTTTAGTATAGGACCCTATCTCAGAAACTAGATGTATATAGTGGGCATTAAATAAATACTTATCAAGCTATACAGTCATTATGTGAATACAATGCCGGATAATAAACTCATTCAATGATCAATCTCAATACTTTGAGATATGCTAGATTATCACGAATTAGGGCAACCAAAGACAGACTACTGTTGATCCTTTTAAAACATAAAGTTTAACTGTTTGCCCTTTAATTTAAAAATTACATGTAGTTATCAGTTTAAGAAAGATTCCATGGATCTTCATTAAGAAAAATATTGTATTTTGAAGCTAAATGTAAAATTATTCTAAATCAATACCCTATACTAAGTTTCTTTTTACTTAAAATGAAATTAATGTCACATTATAATGGTATTACTTATCTCTCCATATTACATATTTTATGGTACTGCCTAATGAAGTACTAAATTACCTCTAACATATTGAGACAAAAATGTTTTTCCTTTTAATAAAAATTAGCATTTCTATTTTTAATAAGAATTTCCTTCAGAACATTCAAGGCAGCAAGTTGTCACAAGTATACATTTTTATAGAAATCTTGATACATATATGAAAAAACATTTTTTAATAAGTCAATATATGGTTATCTAATTATTTCTATAATTGAAAATTATACTTAAAACTACAAAAAGGTGTGCATATTTAAATTAACAGTAAGCTTATCTTCAATTTTTGAGGAATTTGTAGGTTCTGGCCCAACAATTTTCCAAATAGGAAATCCTACTGTACACATTCATAAATTATTATAGATAACTTTAACTTTAGGTTTTATATAGGATACGACATATCACTGTGCTATGAGAAAACTGAAAGCTTTTCACAATTTCTACCACTGATTTCATATTGCTGGAATTACTTTCAGAAGCTAAGTACATCCCAGTAAAGATAAATTTATTTAAAAGCCCAAGTTCATATTCATTTAGCCCTAGACCCTACCCAACAATTTACATGGGCATTGCCTTTAGAGAATAAAAGGTTCCTGGTACAACAGTGACTCATAGGCCCTCCTGAATCATCTTATCTCCAGATGGCAAGGCAACAGCTTCCCAGAACCTCCCCTGGATAGGTCAGTGAGTGTCTAGTGAAAGCAGCTTTGGTTGGTATTTCTGCCTAATTTCCTGAGTTCTGATGACCCCTGGATCTGTCTAGCTTGTTCATGATCCTATTTATACTTACAATGTGCATAGGCTATTTGTAACTGTGTTCCTGCTTCAATGTTCTTTTGACCCGATTCCTTGAGTTAATCCTTTTCTCCTAACTTTGTAGTAGGTCTGTAATTGTTGTTTGCCTTGTCTTCTACAAAGCAAGGAAAAGAGGGAAGTTATATAACTTCTCCTACGACAGTCTGTGATCTCTTAGAATATAACACTCATTTATGATAAAATTGCTTTCTGCATTGTTTTGAAGACAGGAAAATCACAGCATAATGTTTGGTTATAGAAGTGAGCCTAAAATCCAGATTATTTCCAGACTATGGGATCAAATCTTAGAGATAAAACTCTTAATTACTTTCATGGTACTGAATAGCTTAACAAACTATGTTATGCATAGTGGATGCTAAGTAAGTATTTCTGAATAATCACTTTAGAAAAGTAGTTTAATTTTCTCAGCCATAAAGTAACAGTAATGAATCATCAAAAGAATATCCAGGTTACAGTATAAAATATATACATGGCCATATATATATATATATATATAATATCTATGTATTATATATAATCTCCCCACTGAAATTAAGAGTTTTAAATGGGCCCAAAATGAAATAAAGATACCTATCAATAATTATAATTAAGCATTTTAGCTTTTTAGGTTGTCTCTTTATTAATGAAGGCTATCACATAACAAACATTAAATTAAAATTGCAAAATACATTTAATTGAAAGTGCATCATCTTATATAGTCTGTTACTAAAACTCTTTTAAATACATGAACATAAAATATTGAATTCATTAGGTTATAAAAACCACTCAGCCCTTAGTGAGTAGATGACAGAAATGCAATTCTGACTATTCATTGTACACTGGGGGGAAAAACAAGGGTAATAGTTTATTTAAGTATTTTAAGCAAGTACATAATTTCTCTATAATTTTAAAAGGATGGCTGCTTTCATTAATGAGAGCTAAGATTGGTTGTTCTCTTTTTATTCTGCAAGCGTTTATTGGCTGCCTGATGTACTAGATGCTCTGCTCGGTGGGCAGACAAATGACTGCTCCTACTGACTCTTCTGCAGGGAATATTCTAGAAGGGATTAATTCAAGGTCACACGAAGAGTAACTCTAGACTTTCTGAGATAAAACAGTTCCAAAATGAGTGGTGAATGAATGACATTCTTATAACTATCAGTTATATATTCTTTTCACTGCAATATATGTTTGCACTGCTGCTAGATATAAAGGATACTTATGTAATTACCCATTAAAGTAAATTATCTTACTGTTTTTTTCTGTCTTCTAGCATTCGTTTATTCATGAAGTATTTATTTGTTCACTTTATATTGGCATGATTATGTAATCAAATTTCTCCTGTCTTAACCTCATCTCCTTCACCTACCATAGAAATATAACCACATATAACACCTTGTCTAGTATTCTGCCCAAAATGAGTATTCTGTGAATCTCGTTACAATGAATATTTCTTCTCACAGCTAAATAACCCATATCACAATTGGGAGCAGCAGTGCACATGTTAATTAGTGTCTTTAAAATCATCTCCTTGTAGTCAAAGAATAATTTAAATATCAAAGCAATTTTGTTTCATAAAGTTTAAGTTGTCTCTTTTAAAGTTGAAAGAAGGTAGAAGAGCTACTTTTAAATCATATAAATAAATTAATCACAAAAGATTTCTTTCCTTGTACTTACCACTTTACTTCCTTTTCCCTGAAAGACACAATAAGTAAACCTACATAAAATAAACAGTAATGAATTACTGCAATAACTCTGCTTTTCAACAAGTGCTACAAAGAATGTCGTGCATTCTTTGCAATTCTTATGCAATTTTATAGCATATTTTACATATAATAAAAACAATGCGATCTCTAAACTTTATTTCACATATAATTACTACAGATACTGTGAAATATAACCAGAGAGACAGACTTCACCATGAAATAAAGAAATATTACTTCAAAAAGAAATCTGGTACAGATCGGACTGTGTGAAACTTTTCCTATATGTTTGCAGACAGTTACATCTTGCTCCCTCAAAATCCTTGGCTGAAATATTGAATTTTAATTTTCTAAATACAAAAGTAGAAAAAAATATGTTTGCACTGTGGCAACTTTGATAAAGCAACGTCTGATTAATAAAGTCACTAACTTTCTTATAAGTCATCTATACTTGATGATTTATAAGAAATGGAACGAAAACTGAGTAAGCTTTTTTTTAAGGTAAAGAGAATAAAAAGAGGTACTACTACAGAGAACTCAAAGATATTGAAAGACTGATTTATGCATTTAAATAAGGTTTCTTTGTTAAGATGATTTTCTGCCTTATAAAAATGCACATTATTCTCACAAAGAATGTCACATAAAAGATTAAAATATGCTTTTCCCCCCCGCTTCTGACAATGATAAAATATCAACTATTGCCTGTTACCTGTGATCTTGAAATACGGCAATATGCCATGATCCCAAATATTCCCGTAATAAAAGCTAAAATTCGGCAAAATTGGATGATAATTACAGCTTTGCTGAGCGGACAGACATGCAAGCACGCACCATCCTCCTTTTGCAAGTCTAACAGCAGAGTTTTCTCCTCTAGAGAAATCTGAAATTTAAGATTGTATTCAGCTTCCCAATTAGCCTTAGCCTACTTCTGTGGACGCTGGCAAAAGCTTCTTGGCTTGGAGCTAACACGACGTCCTGCCTATACACCTGGAGACTGGATTCCCTCTTTGGAATGTGAGGTGAATGGCTGGATGGATGTTTACTGCTCGCGTTGGCACAGGAGGCCGCCCCGAGTCTAGCAGCGCGAACCTGGGGCGCAGCTGCCTCCGGGGCTCAGGACAGCTGCGGGACAGCGTGGCTGCTGCAGGACGAGGGTTGCAGCCGCGGGCCGCATGTGGACCCCGCCAGAGCTCGGCTGGGGCTGGGCACTGGCCTGGGCACCCCACGGCTGTTGTCCCCCGCCTCTGCTTGCACCAGGGCTGCACCAGGGCTCGCCCAGCTGGGGGACCGCTTTGTGCACCCCCTTACCCCTCCCGAGGAGGCTAGGGCCGCTGTGCTCCGAGTTCGGCGCCTGTCCACTGCGCCTCGGGTGAGTTGGGGACCGAAAGGACCTGCCCCGCACGGAAGAACCCGGCCCGACCCGTTCCCCGCTCTCCTTCCCCGCATGACGCTGCCTGCTCCGCCAGCCTCGCTCGCCCCGATTCTCCCGCCGCGCCCTGGGCTCCCCCACCGCACCCCACCCCTGGAAGCCCCCAGCGCTCCGGGACCAGGACCCGCGGCGAGCTCCCGGCCCCACGCGGACCCGCTGCCCGCCCAGGACCGCCGGCCCCTCGGTGCCACGCCAGGCGCCCGCGCGGGTGCAGACGGCCTGGAGCTGTACCTCGGGGCGCGGGGCTCCGGGAACGCAGCCGAGCGCGGTCGCTTCTGCACCCGGCGGCGGCAGCTGCGGCAGGAGCAGGACCTGGCGGTGGCGATGGGAGGAGCGCCAGGGTTTTAGAGGCGCCTCGGTAACACGTGACCGCCCCAGGGACCCCCGAGACCCTGCTCCGAGGCGCCTGCTCCGCTCCCGCCTCTCCCGGAACCGGGATCCCGGTTCGACCCGGTTCGCACTCCGCTGTTTGCGGGCTCTCGAGTGAATCAGCAGGGTGTTGCCCCGGCACTTTGGCTTAGGGTTCCAGGACCCAATTAACTTGGCGGAGACTTTTGCGGGTCTGGCGGGTGGTAATGAACTCTGTGGGCGTGGGAGTGATTCTAAGGCTTAGACTTGCAGAAAGAAGCTGGAGGCCCAGGTTGACCTTTTGTCCGGGTGGGTGGGGAGCAAGCAAAACTGAACAAATCCCAGCTTTCCCTGTGCCCTCTGGAAGTGAGGGAGGAAGCTAGGTAGGAAGGACCTGGAACGTGCGGGGCACCCCAGGAGTCAGGGGTGATGTGCTGCTGGGGCCATATTCCCAACCAAGGAGGAGTAGCGCAAGTGGTCTGGTGGCCTGGAGCCCTCCCCACCCAAAGGGGGGCTGAAAAAGACGCAGCTCTTCCCAAGACTGAACTCACTAACACGAAGACCTGGGGTGAAAAGAGAGTCGTTGGTAATGATGTTCACCATGCACACCAAACAAAAGCAAGCAAACTAAATCCTGTTGTTCTGTTCCTCTCCCACGTGCTGCTTATCCCTAATGTTTTCCAAATTTCTGTTTTTTTTTTTGTTTTTGTTTTTTTTTTCTAATTATGCAGCTCTGCCTTAGCTTTAGTCAGTTATTAGTCAGCAGACCCTCTGGGCTTCTGGAGAGAAGGGGAACTTGGGAGAGGCCCCAAGGGTCGCTGGACACCCACGCTGTGGATCAAAGTATGCGTTTCCTGTCATCTATAAAACTGGACAATACTGTGTGGCAGGCATGCATAGACTGAGGAGTGTAATCCCAGGGCACTGGTAATCTGATTTATCCCAGGGGAACTATTGGTTTGTAAATCAAATTTCTGAGTCAGCAATTGCTAGCTATTACCCAAGAACTCAGGGGACAGTTTTTGGGCCCCTATCCTATTGATTTAGCATCTGATACCCTGGAATCTGTGTAGATTACTATTTCTGTTCCCAGAGGTAGTACACCCCTTATGAGGACAGTCACATCATTCCAATATCCAGAGGATTATCCCAGAATTTCTACATACCTCAAGAAAATACATTTTCCATTGTATCCTTTTACATTTTGTTTCTGAAACATTTTTTTTTTCACAATTACTTTACAAAATCTGCATCTGAGCTGGCCCATTGGATTCTGCAGTGGGGGAAAGTGGGGTGGCGGTGTCAAGAAGGAATAAAACGGAGAAAACAAGTGCTTGATCCTGGACTTTCTTAACTTGTGCTTCTGTGCAGTTAATGTTCTGCAGGTTGCCACATTGACATCCATGTTTTTGTCATTTGCACAGTTACAGAATACACTTCCTAACAACACACGTTATAACCATCATTCAAAAAAGTCTACAGTACACACTAGTGCATATTAAAAACACAAGATAATTGCTTTTATTTTCCACATATTTGAATTTTCTTTTGAAGACATGAACCTTTAGACTCTTTTTATTATTGAAAAATAAAAGGCCCACACATCAGTGAGATGGAAATTCCATTTAACTTACCCATTTTCTCTTTCTGCCACACCTACAAACCTGTTAGGCCAAAGAAAAGGACTCAGGATTTTTCTCTAAACACACACTATGACAGATAGTATTAAGGTTATAATGAGTGAACAAATGACTAAGAATCCTATATTTTGAAGAAATGGCTGATTTGAAAATAACAATGTGTTCACCAAGAAAAGATGTAAATATAAATGTGATTTTACCTTCAAGTTTCTCCAAAGGATTTCAAGACTGATCATCATTTCTATAGCACATAAACGAATAATTTTGTTGCCATGTAATAGAGTAACATTCAAGCAAGGGGTGTACTACCTCTGGGAACAGAAATAGTAATGTCCACCTCTGCTTTATTATTTTTCCTACTTGGTATTTATAAAGTGCTCATTTGGGAAATTAAGTCGGATTTTGTGCATGTTACAAAATTAAACTGGCTATATCCCAATTTTCATGATTTGTTGTCAGTTATGAAATAAAGCTTGTCTGTCTGTAAAGGTGAAAGTTATGGATCACTTGAGACTCTTAAAACAAATTATTGAACAATCATGCCTGGGGTAACACTTTGCTGAGGAACATGTCTGTTGTTTTGGCAAGATTATTGTTCCATTTCAGTAATAGCTACCATTTGTCGAGGACAGTCACTAAAGTACTTTGATACAATCTCAAATGACATGTAATTCTGATATATTAGTTCTAGGGTAGGTGGAAGTAAATAAACTGGAGAGAACAGCATCTAGATGCATTTTTTTCTCAAAAAATTTTTGTTGTATCCATTAAGGATAAATATTTGTATCTGTTTTTGTATCATGGTAAACTTAAACTCATAAAAGATATAAAAAACATCATTTCTGCATGTTATCAAAGTATTTTTGTGGTGTCCCTTGTTTGATTAATTTCTTTGGACTACCAATAGTTTTTTCGTAAAAACCAATGTTTAGCACTTAAAAATGAGTAATGTATTATTATAAAATGCACACATTTATTTTTTATGGAATATGAACTTTTCTTTATATGTTAGCCAAGAATTTTGTGTGCATTGAATCATTTTCTCAAGTAAGTTAGTGATAATTTAGAGAACCTAAGCAGGCACTATAAATACATTATTGGTTTCTTCTAATGAACATAGAGCCCCTTAAGTAATACTTTTTTCCATGATATTCTTACAATTAAACCATTAAGTGCAAAATAGTGACTTATCTCCAGAGCAAATATACAACTCATTTTAAATCTTACATTCTACATTGAAAATGCATATAGACTTACATATGAGATACATGTGTAAAATTAAATGGTCACACTTTGCATGCATATTTGTGTAATAGATACTCAAAACACCTAGTAGCTGGCAGATTTTATCCCGTCTTAGTAGTATGACTCTAGACAAGGCACTTGATCTTTTAATCTTCATCTCCTTGGTCTATGAAAGAACATGTTTTAACAGCAGATCCAGAGCCCCCCTTTAAATTCTGAATATTGATGAATTTATTATTAACATGCACATATTAAAGTTATGTAGAAAAGTAATCATTTCATATCTTGAGAAAAACTTGATAGTCAAAGATGTTTGTCTCCCATATTGGACAAACAGGAAAAGAAAAGGAACAAAATAGTACTGCTAAAAGTTTTCATTTTTATCTGATACATTATCTTTTCTACAATAGTTATACAATCATATTTGACTTCTTTTCAAACCATGGTGGATATTTACGTACAAATTATTCTTTATCTAATTTTGTTAAAACAATAAAATTTTGTAGTTCAAAACACATAAAAGGGGACAACATAGATTCCTTTGGAGACACGTTGTTTTATCATGAAAATCCATTGCAGGTCACATAATTGATTCCCTTTGCAGATCAAAACTTCTCTTAAAACATTGATGTTTTTAAAGTTTTTCCTTTTGCAGTCTAATTTTCATGATTAGTATTTTAAATGTGTTCTTAGGTCTAAATATAGCTTTACTGTATTTAAGTAAAAGTAGAAGGGAAAGTATTTATCCATTTATTTATTTGGTATGGTTTTGAATAGGCTTTGAAAAGAATATCTAGAGAGTTGTTCAAAGCACAAGCCCATAATCAAAAATTAGTATGTTTGAATGCTCTTCCAAAATCCATGCTACCATATTCTTACTCTTATCTTTCTCCCATGTAATTCACCTTATAAAAATATGTTATCTAGGAAGTAGTAAAAAATTATATTTCCTCCAGTGTTGCTATAAACATTTTTGGAGGTGGTGAGGTTCATTATTCAACTTTGAACTTAATGTAAGAAAAGCCAAAAATATAGTAAGACTCGGGATCATAGTAGTAAGAAATACACATAAAATGTATGTGTATAAGATGATAATGACCCATCACAACTGCAAATGTCAGAAATTAAGAAGTGAATTTGACTTATGACATTCAGAATCTCTTTTAATCCTAAACTCTTGCTAGTTTTTACATCTTTCAACAAAACTTCCTCAGTATTTTCTGATAGGTCCTAGGCTCTAAGTTTAAAGAGATGAAAATGATGGTCATTGTTTTCAAGAAGTCGCAGTGCAACTGATCTGTGTAATTAAACAATTATAATATTACACTATGATAATCTCTACATTAGAAGTAAACTTAGAGTTTGCAGAGATATAAATAAGAATGAAGCAGCCTGTGAGGAGAGTGGATAGATGAAAAGACATAAGAGAGGTCTTCACAGTTGAGGAGGTGCTTGAATTGAACTTGACAGGTAGGTAAGAGTGAAAAGCCAGATGAAGGGAATGGGCTAGTAAGATGTGGGGAATGAAGGGAAGCGACGCACTCAGAAAAGAGCAAATGGTTCAGATTAACTCAAGGACTAACGCAGAGAATGTCTGCACTGTTCCTGAAGGATCTAGATAGAGATCAACTAGACAACTTAGGCTGGAGAGAAAACTACTCGATAGCTGTGAACAAGTTGCTGGCAGGGGCTCTATAGAAATATGAGTAGAGGTGAAAGAGTTCAGTGGAGGTGACAGAACACATGT